GGTGTCCTTCCGCTGCGTGCACGCTTCTGGCGCAATGCGCGTCACCTCGGATGGGCTGCTGGCACTCTCGAGGCTATGCCTACACAGCCTCGCGCGCATGGGCAGTCAAGAGGGACCACGCACTTTCTCAGGACAGCGCCAGTGCCTCTCCCTTGGACCGGCAAACGTGGTGGTCTCGTGTCACCAATGTGGGACCAGTGCGGCATCGCGCCATCGACAGCTCTGAACTGCGCCTCACCACTGACCGGGAAGGCCGCCAAGTGGGCCGGCACAGGTCGCACATTGTGGCAGCAGTCAGCAGTGCATGGCTGATAGCTAGAGCAGCAGCGTCAGGGTCGCAGGGTCGGATCGTGTCAAGCCTCTCGCCCGGCCGGCCGCGTGCAGACGTCGGCCTGTCTGCTGTCTGCAGTGATCTGTCGGCGGTCAGTACGACCGATCAGGTCGGAGTTTTCTGATGGTTGGAGGGTCTATCTGTATGTACTCCTCGAGATCTCTCCAAATCTGCCCTCTGTTAGACCGGGTTAGATCGGGAAGTCGGTGCTCATAGAGACTCATAGAGCCGGAGCCCCGTTTCCGCACTGCTGCGCGGCGCACGGTGTGGGCCGGGGGCCCCCGCGCCGGCCCAGACACACACACACACACACACAGTTGCTCTGGGAAAGCTCGCGCGCCAGCGCGCACCACCCTCTGAAAAAAATTGCTTTAATCCAAAATACTCGGCACAGTGCTATCCCCTACCCCCCCCCCCCCGTCCTCTCCGGACTAGACATGTGCGCTACATTGCCTAGGGGTGGGGTGGTGGGGCCTATTGGGGCATAATGGCTTGTTGTAGTGGATATGAGTTGTGGGCGTGGGTCGCTGGCTTTCGCCAGCCTTTGCAGGCATCCTAAGTTCGGCGGCTCAGCCTCCTCTGCGCCAGGGATCGCGCGGGGCGCAGCACGCCCTGTGTCGTCTGCGCGAGATCCTAGTCCCTGGTTCACCGAGGCGCCCCCTACAGGGAGTCAGCTCAGCCGCGTTCCTTGTAGTGTGATGCCTTTAAGTCTTTAGGTGTTCGATGTGCTAGCTTGTGAGGCCTTGACAAACTTTTGATCTCTCGTGCGTGAGTCGTCGCCTCTTCTGTGGTGAGGTGGTCGAGTCCCACTCTCCTTAGTTCTTCATTCACTCGCCTGCTCAGTCGTAGTCTGCCGTAGTAATCAATCGTCCCCATGGGTTCTACTTTGTCGCTGATTTCTTTCATGGTCGAATCGCTGACTCGGTCGCTCTTGCGTCTTATTCGTCGGAGCCTAGTTCTGGCCTCCCCCGAGTACGCTTGCATGTTTCTCACTAATAGGTTCAAGACCGCCTTCCAGGTTTGTTCGGGTTTGATGTCTTCTTCTTCGTAGAAGGAGACTATTATTTGATTCCACATGTGTAGATGAAGTGCGTTGTGGACCTCAGGCGTGTCCGCCGAGGTTCCGATGATGGTGAGTAGTCTCGGCGGATGTATGCTCAGTGACTCTCCTTGTGCAAAGACCGCGCACCACCCTCTGCCACCCTACTGCCTACTGCCTCCAGCCCCATGGCACATGATATTGGGAGAGTTTTGTTGTCATTAATAAACAAACAGACAAGCCCGCTGCTAGTGAACACAATCGGGTCCTACAAGACACCACTCAGCTATTACTGACTGCTAGTGAACACAATCGGTTCCTACAAGACATCACTCCGCTACTGAACACTCGAGGTTGGAACCCTATGAGCTCGCCCTCACATACAGGCGGACAGGTTGTGCCTGTGGGCGGGGCTGGCCGGCAGCGATGCGCTCAGTCAGAGGCCACTATACACTGCAACGCAGGAAGGCGCACTCTTGGCACTATCCTTGGCCTACGCGACAGACACGTGCAAAGGGGAAAAAGCCGGATAAACGATGGCAGCGCTGCGCCCTCGGCTCACCGTGTGCCAGAGACGCTGGCCCGGTGTCCATGCTTGCCGACATGCAGCCAGCTGCCCAAGACTGAGGCCTCGGTCGGTGGCCGTTCCGTCGCATCGCAGGAGAGGTCGGCGCCGCTGCTCGAGTCGCCTCCAAAGAACACTCGGCCGCTGCGCGAATGCTCCCACATCCCTCCTCCCAGGTCGTCGCTGTCGCGCGGCGAGAGGGCCTCGCTTTCGCGCGGCGAACTTCCCGGCGTGCTGCCACGGGACATGCGGCGTACAAACACACTGGCAAACACACTGGCGGGGTAGAGCGTGCGGGAGGAAGGTCCGGCAGGCTCCATATCGCGCAACGCTTCTCCAAGTGTCCAGGATCGTCCTGGACGAGTCCCGCCGATTTTGTGCGCCGATTTTGTCGCCGAGTGCTCGCCGTCAGAAAGAATTTAAACCTGCCGTCAGAAAGAAGAAAACGCTGGATAGCAGGTATTTCTCTTGGTCGCTCTTCAGTGCCAAAAGCCCAATGTGTGCTAGTGAACACAATCGGGTCCTACAAGACACCACTCAGCTACTTGCTGACTGCTAGGAGAGAGAGAGAGTTGTTTTGTTTTGACTGCTAGTGAACACAATCGGTTCCTACAACACATCACTCCGCTAGCGCTGCGAACAGTCGCTGCGCGAGAACACAAGTCACAACAGATGGCGACAACAAACAAACAAAGAAACAAACACGCCGGCACAAAGAACGGAGCGCGAGTATTCACGGGAAGGGCGTTTCGAGGATTGCGTCGGTGCGGGCGCCGACGTCGTAGCGGGGCGACCGATTCACCACGTGGATGAGCATCTCTATACACTGCAACGCAGGAAGGCACTCTTGGCACTATCCTGGGCCTACGCGACAGACACGTGCAAAGGGGAAAAAGCCGGATAAACGATGGCAGCGCTGCGCCCTCGGCTCACCGTGTGCCAGAGACGCTGGCCCGGTGTCCATGCTTGCCGACATGCAGCCAGCTGCCCAAGACTGAGGCCTCGGTCGGTGGCCATTCCGTCGCATCGCAGGAGAGGTCGGCGCCGCTGCTCGAGTCGCCTCCAAAGAACACTCGGCCGCTGCGCGAATGCTCCCACATCCCTCCTCCCAGGTCGTCGCTGTCGCGCGGCGAGAGGGCCTCGCTTTCGCGCGGCGAACTTCCCGGCGTGCTGCCACGGGACATGCGGCGTACAAAATCGGCGTCAAAGAGCGGCGGCGGCAGCGGCGGCAGCCCCCGCAGACGGCTGGGCACGAACGGGCTGCGAGAGCTCCGCTGGCTCATGGAGGAGCTCGAGTCCGGCACGTCCACACTGGCGGGGTAGAGCGTGCGGGAGGAAGGACCGGCAGGCTCCTGGACAGCAAGTCTCCATATCGCGGCGAGCAAGTGCTCCATATCGGCCTCCAAGTGTCCAGATCGTCCGGGACGAGTCCCCAACAGTGCTCGCTGTCAGAAAGAAGAAAACGCGCTCAGCAGCAGCAACAGCGGTAGCAGCGGCGGCAGCGGCGGCGGCGGCGGTGGTGCGGATGCGTCTTCGATCGCTGCGATCGACGGAGCTCTAGGCTCGAGCAGGTAGTATGCTCGCTGGTGCGCTCGCTGCGTTCTGGACGACGCCGCTGGATGTGATGCGTACGAAGCACGTGTTGTGAGTTGGACAGAGGACCACCGCTCTCACCTCCCCCCCCCCTCCCCTC